TATAAGCATCTGTAGCAAAACAAGAGCCCGGTCTGTTCTAGTTCCCAGCTGCAGGACCGGAGGATCCTGTGTTCAAGGCCAGCCTCCGATATATGAGACGAGGTCTCATGTCACCACTAGAAAGAAAGGGGTAGGGGGCCCCATAGACATGAACATACACGATTCTGAAAGGTAGAAAGCCTTGACCTTGGAATAAAGGACAGCTCTTTAAACATGGAGGACAATATGCTTTTTAGGAATAAGACTGAAACATCATTTGTCACTGGAATTGTTGACAGGTCTTCATCTTCTGGACTGGGGACGAGAATCTAGAGGACTAGTTCATACACGCCCCCATTTTACATAAAGAGAGATCTATCAGTGGAGACTGAACAGGCACCTACTTAAGTATATCTTTTCCAAGGACCCTTCCTTTCAGGCTTTGTGTCACCCATGTCTCAGTTACCTCCAAGGAGCTGTCAGGTTTCCAAAACAACATTCTAGGTCCTATTTCTTATGGAAAGAAGCATGCATGTACCTTGACTCTGATGGGAGAAAGACCAGGCACCCCAAAGATGGTAACTTTGCACAATCACCCTCAGGGGAGGCTGCAGGGAGAACTAGGTGGTCCTTTGTTCCATGTATCAATTCCCCAAAGGTCTGTGTCTCTTTAACTCTTTCCCTGTGCTTCCCAATTCACCTCTTCCAGGAATGTTCACTTCCTAAATCTTGTCCTATCTCTTCACTCCTGCCTCTATCCACCACTGATTTTCCTTTAAATCGAAGTCTCCAATGATTTCCATTCCGATTGCATACTGTTTCATAAGATGTTTGACCTCAGAAAGTTGAGTGGTTTCATTCCCACAAATGTCCATAATTCCTACGTAGCCTTTAATCCCTGTGCTTGGGATTTGAGGCCAGCATGGTCTACACGTGATTTCAAGGCCAGACACAGCCATCCGGTAAAACCTCGTCTGGAAACAAACAAACAAAAAACCCTACCATCATCACCACCAATAGAACACACAGGAGCCAGTGAGAAGGGTCAGAGTTTGATAAAGGTGCTTGCTGATTATCCTGAGGACCTGACTTCAATCCCTGGGCCCTACAATGTGGAAGGAGAAAACTGACTCCTGCAAGTAGATGATTCTCTTGAGGTGGGCAGCTGGGGTCTCACCATGTAGTCCCAAACTGGTCTAGACCTCTACATTCTCCTGCCTGAGCTTCAAGTGAGATGATAACTTTGCACAACCACACCCAGAACTTCCTTATCAGTTCCACTCATATATCCTTGTAAGTCTTAGGTTTCATTCCAGGGCACTGCACCATCAGAGCCACTTTGAACCTCAGCATTGCTCAAGGATACGCCCACTGACACAACCAAAACCAGAACCCAGGGCCTTGGTTCCAGGTCCTGTTTGCTTTCTATCCACAGTGCTGTGTTGTCTCCACAGTGTCAGAATGGATCCCTGTCTCTCCTTCCCTGGCCTCAAACTTGCTAGGTAGGTTGACCCCCTTAAACTCCTGATCTTCCTGCCCCCACCTCCCATGTTCTGGGATTGCAGACATGCACACTACTGCCTAGTTTATGTAGAGCAGGAGAAAGAACATAGGGCTTCCAGCACGCTAGGCAATCTACTGAGAGTTACCCCCACCCCTTTCTCACTTTCTTACAGAAGCACAGGCCCCAACCCAGCCTCTTACTACCCAGTGGTCTCTAAACCCCAGGTTCCTTTCTGAAAACAAAAGTGAGGATGATTGAACCTCCCCGTCAGGTGTTTGTGAGGATGAATATGATAAAGACAGAGGCTCAGCACACACTAGCATCTGAGAAATGTTGGCGATGCCCAGATGTGGGTTACATGCATGGATGGATTTCACTGTTAAACCCAGAAATGTAGTCTTCTTTGGTTCCATCCCCCTAGACTTGGGACATGGACCTGGCAGGAGGCAGATGCCCCTTAGCCTGGCATCCTCTGCCACCCCTTAGCCTGGAAGGGAGTTTCCAAGTTGGGAGGTGAGTGACTCAGGCAGGTGGCAACCTCTTACTCTTCTAGAGTGTCAACAAGCACCCTCAAAAAGCCCCACCTGGGAGGAGAACCACACTGCCTTTGTTTTGTTTTGCTTTGTGTTGAAGAAGACAGAGTCCCATCCTTTCTGCCACTCCCTTCTCTACCAGGGAGGCTCCAAAGTAGCCAAGTGCACACTTACAAAAACACACCTTGAAAAGACTATGCACTATTAACTAGCAGAAGCAGGAAGTGGGGGCTGTGGTATAAAAGCATTAAAAGATAACATGAAGGGGCTGGGGAAGGGCTATGGAGCAAGAGCCTTTGCTGCACACGAATAAGGACCTGATGTGAAAATGCAGTACTCATGTTAAAAAGCCAGGTGTGGCTCTGTGTATGCCTAAAACCCCATTGCTGCTGGGGTCGGAGGTGGAGACAAGAGGATTGCTGCGGCTTAGCTGACTACTGGCCTAGCTCCAGTAAGAGACCCTGTGTCAAGGGAACAAGGAACATTATGATAAAGCAGGGTCTATGCTGTCCTCTTTTATCCTTGATGCATGTGTGTACTCCCTCCATCCCAGGAGTATACAACACAGAGAGAGAGAAAGAACATGGAGTGTATGATAGGCATGCACTTTTACACAATTCATCTTCCATCCAGTCTGTGAAAATCAGGTAGATGGATGCTCACTGATGTTCATACACAGCTTCAAGCACCCAGGCCAGGCTCTTAAGCATCATGTCACAATATCTCACCAGCCAGCAGGACACAGAACTCAGCCTCAACAGGATCTTTAGAAATTGTCAAACCCCCAACCCTACTCAAAATAAGTGATGACACTTGCAATGAAATACTAACAAGAGGGAAAAGACAGGGCCATCCTTTGTGGATGGAGCTACACTGAGAGCCAGAGCAAGGCTAGTACTTGCAGCAGGTGTGACCCAGCACCTAGGATCCCCATGGGAGCACCTGCTTTTTTCTTTTTTCTTTTTCTTTTTTTTTTTTTTTTTTTGCTACGCACACCAACTGATGGGAAACACAGCTGCTTGCCTGTGTGTATGTGTGTGAGCCTCAGTGTGTTGAATATGTATACATGTTTGTGTGTGGTTGAGTGTGTGTGTGTGTGTGTGTGTGTGTGTGTGTGTGTGAACTCAAATCCTCCACATTTCTGTTTGTTCTGTCCCCTTACCCCTTCTTTACTTTATTGAGATAGGGTATCATGTAGCCCAGGTTGGCCTCAAAATCATTGTGTAGCGGGAAAGACATTATGTTTTTCCATTTTTTTATGACGCCAGGTCCTGGGTTCTGGGATCCAGCACTACATCTCATTTCTACTCTTCAGGACCCCAGTGAGGCTTTATGTGTGGTAGGCAAGCCCTCTGCCTCCCTAGCTAAGCTTCATTCCTAAGCTGGAAGCAGAATTTTGGATCAAACCAGAAAGAGCCTTACTCTGCTAGAATGAGAGACTTGAGACTTGTCTGGGAAAAGGTGGGAAGGAAGGACTGGGGTAGGAGTAATGAAGCAGTCCTGGATTCCTTCCTGGATCCTTAGCCTGAGGCAACCTCGGAATACAAAACCCTTCAGTGGATTCTAGGTACTTTCTGCTCTTGGGTGTGTGTTTATCAAAAAGAGAGATTTGGGTGATAGTTAATTGAGATAAGGAATGTCAAACATGTGACACTGACTAACAAGGGACTTGAGGGTGCTGGTGGTGATTGCTGAGAAGTAAGGGATGTGGATGAGGAGAGTCCTCGTCTACCATGCACGAGAGCCTGGATTCAGTCACTAGTGCCTCAGAGAACCAAATGTGATGGCACACATTTGTAACCCTGCACTCAAGAGGTGGAGGAAAGAGGAATTAGAAACTCAAGTTCCCGAAGGGCATTGGTGGCACACGACTTTAATCCCAGCACTCAGGAGGCAGAGGCAGAGGCAGGCAGATCTCTGTGAGTGTGAGCCAGCCTGGTCTACAGAGCGAGTGCCAGGATAGGCTCCAAAGCTACACAGAGGAACCCTGTCTCAACAAACAAACAAACAACAACAACAAAAAGAAACTCAAGTTCCTCCTCAGCTCCATAGAAAATTTTGGGCTAGCCTGAGACTCAGCCTGAAAGAAACAAAGAAAGAAAGAGAACGGGAGGGAGGGAGGCAGGGAGGGAGGTAGAGAAAGAAAAGATGGCATGTCAGCTGGAATAGTGCTGGATGCTCCAACTTCCAGCTCTATAGAAGCAGAGGTAGGAGGGCCAAAAATCAAGGCCAGCCTGGGCTATATGAGACTCTAAACTCATAACTCAAAACAGCAACAAGAAGCCCTCCCCATCACACACAAACAAAAACTGTCACCAAATGTAGTCCCATCTCCCCTCAGCCTAAGGTGTTTTTAAACTCTGCTTTCACAGGCTGTAAAGTCTATAGTATTTTTGTGTTCATTTAGCATCTTTTGCATTTATTTATTACGCGTGCGTGTATGTGTATGTGTGTGTGTGTGTGTGTGTGTGTGTGTGTGTGTGTGTGTGTGTGTGTACCTGTGCATGCACACATTCCACAGCACATGTGTGGAGGTCAGAGGACAGTTTGTAGTTCTTTCTCTCCTACTATGTGAGTTTCAGGAATTAAACTCAGGTTGTCAAACTTAACAGCAAGCACTCTACCCACTAAACCATCTTTCTAGCCCTCATTCATCATCTCAAGGCGAATAAAACTATTTACATTGATAACTTGCCCTGTTCCCAGGATGCCTGCCACACAGTAATTAAGGTGTGGGTTCTGAAGTTTGGGCTTTGATTCCAGCCCTGCCACTCATGGTCTGCAGCCCAGTTTCCTAAGCAAGGCTATGAAGACAGTGTCAGTTTGTGGCACACACA